ATTTTTAAAAATAGTATTATATTAATAATTTGATCACATGTTATGTTTAAATAACTGACTGTCATTGTCAAAAGAATTTTCCTAAAAGTGACGAGGGAGGGGTGATAAACTAATGATTTTTTTTTTTTCGAAAATATTATTTATTATATTTAAATTACTTACATTGTGTATTTTATTGTGTTAAAATTTCAATTAAAAAAAAAGTTATTTTACAAACGTACAAAAATAATATGTTCTAATATTCTTTGCGTAAACTACTAAACTGGGCATGCGGCATTCTGTCTAGGGACTTTCTTACTAAATGATTTATCTACTCTAATTGTTCCTACTTGCTTTACTCGTGCTGTTCTTTTTAGTTAATGAGTAGGCCTATAAAATTATAAAACAAATAAATAAATAAAGAAAATTAAAATTTAAAATTGAAATTATTTACACGCGCCGTTGTCAGGTATTCTCCTGTTTTTATTCTTTATTCTCCACGCACGAACAATTTACAAGGCATAGGGCCTACTATATATACTGTACTGACAGAACATAGACATGCTAATATCAATTTTAAAAACAAAACACAAACCATGATCCAACATATATACGTTTATGTTTAGACCTATTCACTGACACAGTACCGTACCTTCCTACAGTATTCTACTTCCTTTTCCAAATCACTTATAAAGAATATTATAGTATTTGATGTTCTTATTTTAACTCCTAATTATGAAAAAATATATAAAACAAATAAAATGAATTTAAATGAATATGCGTATTATAACACACATTTTTAACTGTTTATAATATAATAATTCTTAAATCATATTGGAATATTATCGTACCATTGAAATATTGAAACTCGTAAAAAAAATGTTGGTAGTTGTATAAACTGTATCGTAATTCAGTGTAATGTCTGTTTTCGTAGGACGACTGGACGCCATTAATGGACGCTGTGCAGTGGAGAGCACCAGATGATGTGTTGAAGAATATGATTGAAACGGCAACTCCAGATAATTTAGAACAACAGGCGGTGAGTGGAATTAAATATCATTGCATTTTAAACATCACAAGCACAACATGTGTACACATCATACGACATACAAATAACTCAAATTCAATTTCAGTGATTTGTTTCTTGTTGGGTTAAAAATGAGACTTTTATTTCATGATTTATTTGACATTTTTTACAACACAGAGAAAGCCTATGCTTTGGCCATTATCACTAATTCATATGAAATATTGTGAAAAAAATACATTTTACACTTACAAAAATAGTGATGTTTGGATTTGTTCTGTTTAATACAGTTTACTGAATAAATTGGTGACAATAAAATTGATATTTTTCACAAAAAGTATTCTCGCTAAAAATCCCGATTTGGAAATAATTTACTATTGTGTGTAAAACATAGGCCAATTGATACAAATATTTTTTGCGCGATTTCGCCTTAAAAACCACATTTTAAAAATATTAAATAATGTAATTAGTATTTAATAATGATGAATGTAATAAGTAATGTATGTGTGATGTTTGTGAGTGGTTATGTGTTGTTGATATGTGGTGTGTGTATAGTTTCTTGTTGTTGTTTATTATTTCTTTCTCATCATATTCTACGTTTGTCTTGTAGTCTGGTTTCACTATTCTCCATTTCTTGGCGCTCTTCGCACGCGTGTCAGCAATGAGACGCGTGTTGGAAAAAACCAACAAGAAGATTAACACGCAAAACATCGTGAGTACAGTAGAAGAAAACAACACTTTATTCATTGCTAACAAATTAACATTAATTCACTCACAAACACATTCAATACATCACGTTCTAATTTTGTAATAGTAATCTAATATTATTGGATGTAATACCGTGTTATAATTTATTATATTTACAACTGGTTTAGATTATGTTTTTTTAAACATTGTATTTTGTATACATTTAAAAGTACTGCCCGTCATAATAAAATATAATTAGCTATATTACAATAACATTCTTTTAATAGACACACCATAATTAATACAGTATTGTATTACTATTGTTAGTGTCATTATCATCATCATCATCATCGTCATCGGCATCACCTTCGTTGTAATTATTATTAGCTGGAATAGTATCATTTCATTATTTAAATATTCATAAAAGTATCTTTGTCCTCATAATATTATCATCACCATCTTCATTATTATAATCATCAATTTTTTTATAATACATTTTTATAGGTCTATATTATTATTATTATTATTACATATTTCATTGGCGATAATTAAGTAGGCCTATTATGGTTATAAATGATTTCAGGTACTTTTACGTTTGCGTAATATTTGTTAATTGATATTCTTGTGTTGTGCGTGTTCAACAAACTTGACGTTGATTATCATTTCATTGCAGTTTGGATGCACACCACTACATTGCTGTCTAGAGAATGAGGAGCTGACGCACGAGCAACACAAGGAACTCGCAATTCTCATGATCACCTTTGGCGCGTCGCTGACAATAAAAGATGATGTAATGTACAGAAAAATGAAATGCATCAAAAGAATATCAGTCAATGACCTTAATACAACAACTGTATATGAAACTACTTGAAACATTTTTACATTAAATCGATTAAAATGTTAGCGAATATTGTAATGATAATGATTTTTTTAAGTATGATTTCAATAAATATTTTTTTCCCCGATGTGATGTGATAGTGATAGTAATTTACAACAATAGTTATAAAGTTGTAATGCTCATAGTGTTGATTATTTAAATTATTATTTACCATTTTATTATTATATCATTATGGTTTTTAAACCAAAATATACGGTACCACTGTCTTTTGTTGATTTAATTTCCATGATCCATCCAATGAAACGAATCATCGCGTGCTCGTGTCTGTTATTACAGGAAGGAAAGACGCCTCTTGATGAGTATGATGATAACGAATGTGATGAATACGAAGAAACCACGAAAACCAAGAAAAAGGAGGAGTTGAAAGAACTACTTAAAGGTACGATAATGACCTGTTTGAACCACATTTAACAGACATATTACTCATTACATTTACTTTCTAATATAATTATACACTACTATATTATTTCAATTCAGTTGCATTTTGATTGAGAATTGTAAGAAATGTTAATCTTAATTAATTAAAATGTAATTTAGAAAGTGAATTAAATAAAAAGTATAGAAGGACAACATACTAAATATTTGATTTTTATTTTTATATTAATTAGAACTATCAATTCCGTCAGAGATTTTAGCCAGGGGTCCCGAAGCCGTCAAAGCATTCAAAGATGCACTTAAAACTGGTGAAATAACAGTTGTTAATTCAAGAATGATGTTTTTAGGTAACGAGGGTTCCGGAAAATCATCTTGTGTCAAAGCCATGCTTGGGAAAGAGTAAGTACAATCGGATGTATTAGGTTTTGTACTTTATATCGATTTACTTTGCTTGCTTTTTTTCAGTTAGTTTTAATATTACAGTGTACGTTCGTTTTCTACTCAACTTTTAACATGCACGCGCTAGTGTGCGCGTGTAAGTTTACTTGTAACTTTCCGTGGTAAAGTTGTTGCTAGGTGACGGGGTCGAGTGGCGGATGACACGGCTTTACTTTATTATGCAATTGGGATTTAATAGCAGCAACTGCGAAATTTATTGTTGTTTTTGCATTTCGAATATTTATCACCAGTTTGTACTGCAGGTAAGGATTTTTTTTTTCTATAAGTTATATTCTAAATCCGTTTTGTTGGTTATAATTATTTGTTATTTTAGAAATGCTATAAACCAATCACTATAATTATAATTTTTTTTGTTGCTGACAAAATTATTATTCATTTCTATCATGATGATGAAAAACTTTCATCATCATAGTTTTGATATGCATGAGCCGTCAACTAATGGTATTGTTACAACTACTGTCTTTCAAACTGATGGAGATTACAGCAAATGGGAGGAGCAGAAGGATGTAGACGGTATGATTTATAATACTAAACCTAAATTATGTGATAATATTAATAATTAAAATCCTTTATTTGTGCTCATTAAATTTGGAAATAAAATATTTATTTGGTTTGGGCCCCTGGGTACCTGTTGCAGCCACACAATGTGTAACGGGATACACACGGATGTATATTGAGCCTAATTCACAATGTGAGGATTATTCGAGAAAATTGCATTTGAAAATCGACTTGTCGGGTTTCAACGGGTGTTTACAGCACAAGAAGCATCCTCACAGCAAACGCTCAGCTAGACCTTAAAGGACCCCTGCCCGGATTTGAACCTGGGATTATTCGTTTACTTTTCACGAACCACCGACGCCTAAGCCACACTGCCACGTAATAATTTTATTACCGTACTATGTTGAAAGCCTAAATGTGTGATTCAGTTGATTATACTATGATTTAATGACCTTATTTTCATGGGTAACTTTTCAATTGTATACAGTTTGTGAACAAACCAAGCAGATACTTGAGCACGGTATTGCAGCAAATGTTGCAAAGAAGTTGAAACAGCCAAACAGTGAACAAAACAAATCTGAATTTGTTTCTGATGTAGAAAGGCCATCTTCATCCAGTTATGTTGCATCTATATCTGCTGTGGTAAATTTGTGCTTGTTTGATGATCAAACACACCCTCATAACCACCCTTCCCCCCACCCACACACACACCCCCACACACACACACGCACACACACACACACACATAATGAACGGTAATCCGAAGGTCTTGTGTCAGGGGCGGCGCCAGAATTCTCCAACAAAGGGTCTAAGCTTTCTGACAAGGGGGTTGTTGGTTGATTTTTTTTTTATATTAAGAAATTAAATTTTGTGATAATTATGGGATTCTTTATTTAAAAGCGATGTCCTGGGTACTAGTCTTCCTGTCGGAGTTACCATGGCCTGTCAAGGAAGAACTGGCGGACTACTGCAACCCATACGATCGCAAATAGTACCGGAAAACGAAACCTCGCACTTACAGTAGCACTGCTTGCACTACACACTTTTTAATCTCTAAAATGTTGACAGCTTATTAACACATGCTTGAATTGTACTTTTGGCGCTCGAAATTTGACTTTTCCCCGATGATCTTGCTGGAAATTCTAACAGGACGGTCAAAGCAAGAGGTCCAGAGGGCCCCGACGGGGGTCCTTTCCTCTAGACCCCCGCTAGCGTCACCACTGTTTTGGGTTGGAACTTGTAGATGGCCGGAAATGACATTCTCAGACTCAAACCTTTAATTGATATTTTATTAACCCAATTAACTTTAACTTTGTAAAATTTAGGCTTCCCTCATAATTTTTAAAAATTTATTCATTATCCAATTAGAAGCAATACAAGAGAAAACATGGAAACAAAATGTACATTACCTACGATTGCCTGTCAAAGGTATTGCATTATAATCAAGACATAATCACACAATTGTAAGACAATAAAAAAATAATAGAATCATGGAATAGTTGTTCTAGGACTCCCAAAATTTTTGTGCCTCCCCCCCCCCCACATTTTTCGTTCCCCGGACCCTTTGGCTTGGCGGACCCCAGGTTTGGGAACCACTGTTATAGATTATTACCTGGCCTATACATTTATGAATGATAAAGACGTTTGTACTGCAATATTAACTAATGTTATTGATGGGGTAGTACATGATAGTGAGATTTTAAATAGGCACTACATGTAAAATAAATTTTAGAATGCAAGCATTTGGGAAGTAGGCCCTATATCAACTGCATGTACTTGTCTTATTTTATTTTAACGAAAATACATCAGTATTTAATATCAGTGAAATAATTTAATTATTGTTTAATTACAGGTTCAATTACCTGAAGAATATATGCCCCCGACTAAACGAAAGAGAAGCAGAGGTATAAAGTTATACTCATTTCTATTTTTATAATATGCTACAAATACAACGATCAGGTTAAATTTGCCTTATATTTTGTAATGGTAAACCAAATTGAAATGCTAACTAGGACTAGACGTACATGCTGGCCCACAATAGAACTTCGGAGGTAGCGTGGAAGGCAACCTTGGCTTTCGTCATTAGGGCTCCATCG